AGTTTTCTTCCACCTTTTCAAAATATATTTATCGGGCATATATTCAGTCTGGTCCCTTCTGAACAATGCTAGGATGTGCTTGCAAATAATCCCAACAAATTCAAATTTTTTGCAGCTACACGATGCGTGGTCAGAATCTTTGACATATACGACTTCTGCCACTCTTGTTTGCCAATTTTTCCTTTCGCTCACATTAAAGACAACTTTTGAAGCATCCTCTGTTTTGAGCTCTAGGAAACATGCTGTCCTTTGTATTAGTTCTTTCTCAAACTTTTGAAACATTGCCCTTGTGTACAAGGTAGCCATTTGTTTGTTCATTGGCATTGGTAGAATACATTGAGCCACTTCAAATGCATCTACGTGATCAGCAGCTAACTCTTTTTGACGTTGATGGGAAAGTGCCCTCTCAAATCGTATTATGAAATCCATCAACGAATTTCTCCTTGATATGTATTGCTTGAAGAAAGCATGAGAACCTTCCGCTCTTTGGCTGCTTGACATTCCAGCGGCAAAAAAGTCTTGTGCGTAGGCTGGAACCCAAGATTCCCTTAAATCAAACATTGAACTTAGCCATTGATGGTCAGTGAAACCAGCCTTTGTAACCACAATATTCCACTTTGCATCAAACTCATCCTTATTGTCAGTATCCCATATGGCTTTCTGAAATTCACGCCAATACTCCTTATAAGCAGAATGTGGTAACTTAACATGGAACTTTGATGTGATGTGCCATATGCAAAGCCGATGAAATGTAGTCGGGAAGGCTATTGAAATCGCTCTGGTGATGGCCGCATCTTGATCTGTAATGATCGTTTTAGGTTCGCCACCTTGCATGGCTTTCTTAAACTCCTCAAACATCCAAATAAACGACTCAGTCGTTTCCTTGCTCAAAAATGTGCATGCTAAGACAATTGTCTGACCATGGTTATTAACTCCCAATATTGGTGCAAATGTCAAGTCATATCGATTTGTGTTGAATGTGGTATCGAATACAACAACATCTCCATACAACCGGTATGCCCGTCTAGAAGTTGCATCTGCCCAAAAACATCGACTAAACCTGTCTTCGCCATCTCCCTCAATCTTGAAATAAAAAGCCTCATTTTTTTTCTGTTCAGCCATAAAATACTCGGTCACTAGTTCAACATCGTGGTTCCTCAGCTTCCCATTCACACTACATTCAAGATTGTAAATATCCTTTTTGATAAAACCGATTTTATCCATTCCTCCGGATTGCACCTCGAAAATACTTACCTTCTGATGAATGGGGATATTAACCGAACCCAACTGTTTTGTAAGTACTTTTGTAGAATCCGAAATACGACGGTGTGATCTCAATAAATGCACTCTTTCTGAGGCTGTCCTCTTATGATTGTGTCCCTCTGCAAAAAGAGAGATGGCATACTTCTTGCTCTCATTTGTCTTCACAACCACAATCTTAGCTTTGCAATTGCATCTACTTATTCCCCGCTGTCTTTTTCTCTCCCGAGTTTCATCTTTCCTGTATGCACCTTGTTTGCAACAAACAAATTCTTTCCTCAGAATCTCTTTCTTATATGTCCCCCGAAAGCTGGAATGAAGTCGAATACCAAAGCCAGCCAAGAATGCATATCTGTTATAGAAATTATAAGCGAGGTCAAGCGAGTCGAACTTCATCCCAACCGCTGGTGTTTCCTCATTTCTTACTTCAAGAATGTAAACCATCCCATTAACTGTTACACAGTCATCACTCTCTGAGCCCCCAGACATTTTACCCACATATATTTTTGAACTACTTCTATATCACTACATAGCAAATATTAATTCATTAATCAATCATTACTGCATTACAACATATCAATGCATTCCACTTACACAAAACATTGCCCA